ACAAAGTATGAAACAAACATTTATTTTCAAATAAGAACTATCAAAATTGAAATAATTGAGCATCACTATATTTTCATACAAAAACAAATAAGATAAACAATTAATTTCATTTCAATTTAAATCAAATATTATGCTATATCTAAAGAAAATTGGTTGATTTACCAATTATAAATATAAAACTACTAGATTAAATAAACTTTTCGTCACTATATTCAACAAAATTGTAAAAGAAAAACTCGCGCATCGCGCGAGTCATATTCTAGTATAGAGTAATTAGGCTCTATATTAGTTTATCTACCCATAATTAAGTTTCTAACACTCTATAAAAAAACAAAGATGCGCGAGTCATATTCTAGTATAGAGTAATTAGGCTCTATATTAGTTTATCTACCCATAATTAAGTTTCTAACACTCTATAAAAAAAATAAAGTAAGTAGCATTTAGATCACATAAATCTCTATTTTACCCTTTTTTATTTTACAGCTTTTTATTAGAATTTTTTTTTAATTTAGGGTTTAGGGTTTCTTCGTCGGCTCAATTTCTTCATTACCTGCTTCTCGGCCTCGATCTCTACTGATTTTCTCCACATGCATTTGACAAAGGGATAGTTAACTATAAGACGTAGTTAACTATATCTACACATTACCCAACAATAGTCAACTATATTAACACAGAGTTAGTTAGATATAAGACATACGTATTTAACTATATCTACACAATACCCCGCAATAGCCAACTATACTTAACACATGGAAAATTAGCTATAAGGCCTACGTAGTTAACTATGTTTTTTACATAAAGAAATGTGCTACCAACGCCGAAATGCAAGCAGACATGACTACACCGTTCAATATCACCTGCTACAAGGGCACATGGGAAATCAAACGCAAAGTTAAAATTTATTTCTCCACATGCATTTAACACAGGGATAGTTAGCTATAAGATCTACGTAGTTAACTATATCTACACAATACCCATCAATAGACAACTATATTTAACACATGGATAGTAAGTTATAAGACCTACGTAGTTGACTATTGATATTCTCGGCCTCAATCACGATAAATTTTGATTTTGTCTCCCTTATAGCTCGCCAAAAAATCACCGTCAAAAGTGCCGCCGCTTTAAACGAAGAAATATTCTAGGGATTTTTTTCCCCTAA